ACTACATGGGAGTCCAACAATGTAACTATTACACCATCTGCTGGTCCCTCATCTCATTTCTAATTGCATTTTTAGTTCAATCAGTTGATTTGTCTATAACTATTCTTATGTCAGTATAACATCATTTTGATTAATAGAGCTTTGATAGAAGTTTTGGAATCAGAAAATAGGAATCCTCTGACTCTGTTTTTTTTGTTTTGAATAGCCTCAATCCCTTGAAATTTCATGTGAGCTGTTACATTTTTACAAAAAAAAATGTGATAAGGGTTACATTGAATTTATATGTCACTTTGAGAAGATATACCACATTTAGGCAATATTATTATATTAAGAATATTAAGTCTTCCCATAACCACTGAATGTCTTCCTGTTTATTTTCGTCTTTAATTTTTTCAAGCAATGTTTTTGTAGTTTTCATTTTATAAATCTTGTACCTCCTTGGATCAATAGATTCCTAAGTATTCTTTTGAGAATTAGAAATATTCTCAGTCGTATGAGCTAAAATTTTTTGCTATGTAAAGTAAATGCTTGTGGAAAAACGTAAAAATAAATAAATGAAAGAAAAAAAAAGAAATATTCTCAGTCAAAAACTAATGTTAAATATTTTATTTTTCATGTTATTGCAAATGAATTTGCTTTTGGGGGGGAGTATTCATTGCTAATGTATAAAAATACAAGTTCTTTTGTGTTGACTTGCATTCTGAAACTTTGCCGAAGTCTATTAGCTAAAGTATATTTTTGTGAGTATATATATTCATTAGAATTTTTAGATAAAAGATTATATTATCTGCAGAGGGAGGTAGTTTTAATTCTTTCCTTTTCATTTAGATGCCTATTATTTTTCTTCCCTAATTGCGCTGGCTACAACTTTAAGTATTATGTTGCTTAGAAGTGATGAAAACTATCATCTTTGTCTAATTCCTGATCTCAGGAGAAAGGCTTTTAGTTTTTTCCATTGAGTATGATGTTAACTGTGGATTTTTATATATGGCCTTTCTCATACTAAGGAATTTTCTTCTAATTTACTGAGTGTTATTTTTATCATAAAAGTGTGTTAGGTTTTGTCATGCTTTTTCTGTATCAGTTGAGATGATTGTGTGGGTTTTTCAAATTCTATCAATATGGTATATTAATTGATTTTCATATATTGAACCACCTCTGCAATCTTGGGAGAAATCCTACTCAGAGTGTATATAATCCTTTGATATGCTGCCAAACTTGACATCCTAGTTTTAATATTCATAAGAGATATTGGTCTGTGATTTTCTTTTCTTGTCTTTGTCTGGCTTTAGTAATGCTAGCCTCATGGAGTGAATAAGGAAATGTTCCCTCTTCAATTGTTTTTAAGCATTTTTAAAAGGATTAATGTGAATCTCCAAAAGTTTGGTACAAATCACCAATGAAGACATCTCTTCTAGGCTTTTCTTGGGAAGGTTGTTGATTAGTGATTTAATCTCCCTACTTGTTTTAGGTCTATTCAGATTTTCTGTTTCTTCTTGAGTCAGTTTTGGTAATTTGTTTCTAGGGATTTGTCCAGCTCATCTAGGTTTTCTAACTCACTGGCATATAGTTCCTTGTAGTTCTTATATTGCTTTTATTTTTGAAAAGTTAGTAAAGTGTTAGTTAACTCATTTTCTTTATATCTACCATCATTAAGAAGTTTTTCCTTGATTTACCTTTTCTCCTGAAATCTTTATCCAGAAATTTTTCTAGCATTTGGTCCTAGTGCTCAGACTTTATTTTCTTTTGTTCAGTTTAAGATAAAACAACAACAAAAACGTGTTTCTGGTAATGATAAAAATAACAGCAATAATAACTACCATTTAATAAGTGATTTCCACATGCCAGGCATTACATGTAGAATAGCTTACATATGTCATCTTACTTAATTCTTATGACAACCCTCTCTTAACTTATCAGTTTTCAAAACTGAAATAACAAAAAAATTATGTTATTCACCAAGTTAAAATATCCTGAGACTCAATGAGATTTTATTTTGTTTATAGTTAGCCCAGTGCTTACAAGTGCACAGAATCCACCAATCCTACAAATTGTAGTTCCTCTCTTATTTCTCTACAAATACTAAGATATTTTATTTCCTCATCTCTTTACATCACTCATTACCAAAGGTTACCACAAGAATGTTTTGGGGTAGAACAAAGGAGAATGTGAAAGGACTAAATATTTTAGAGAAGAGATAGTCTATGTAGGTAAACTGTCACTAAGGGCTAAGAAAGACAGATTATTTGGGTAATTAAAAAAAAAAACTGGCAGCAATTAAAATGGGCCTCTATAGTTAAAATCTTTCAGAAAATGCTGGATCAATGGGAAGACAATTTGACCTTATATATATATTTTTTTATTTTGTTTATTTGAAACAAAACTTAGAAGAGATTCCCCAGACCTTAGAGTCCATGGAAACAAGTTAAAAAGGAAAGAGAAAGAAGAAAGGAATGAACTTGTCCTACCTCTGGGCTCTGTGTGACATGCAGTCCACTCACCCTTTATCCTGACAGATGACGTTCGGTGTTGTAGTTAGGCCATAATTCATTCTTTTGGTAAAAATTCCAATAAAGGAAAAAGATGCTCTCTTTTCCCCAAGTCAACCACTTAGAGAGGAATGATAGAAATGTGAGGCCATTTCCACTGCTTTAATTCAAATCTGGATCATAATAAAGCACAGTCTGAAGAGTATAAAGCCTGACTCTGCTTTGTGCAGGTATTTTGAAAGGATGAAATGAAAAGTTAAAGAAGAAAAGACACCAGCTCCCTAGAATTATATCAAACATATTAATCATGGAAGGGCCAGAGGTCCTAGAACACAAATGATCATGCACATGACGGCGGTTTTCCCTACTCTTTCGTGTTTTCCAAGTCTTTCTCCATCAGCTGGATAATACTGTTTAATCCCTTACCCTGATTTAAAATTCCATCAGAGGGAAGTAATGCATTTCTGTTCTGGAGGTTTACTATGGTAAATGCCTTACTGGATTAACTTTATCTTCACTATTACAGGGGTCTTTTAGGTGCTAACACAATTTAAAAATAAAGTAAAACAAAAACTCTTCGATTTCAAAATGCATTTTCCACATGGAACTTGTTCGTGATGTTTATTGAGTGTTATTTGACATCTGAAAAGCTGAAATCTTGTCCTTTACAGGCAGATGAGCCTTAGTAATGAAAAGGCTGGACAATCAAAACCCCTAAATGATCTGGGATTAGTCTGATATTATGCCTCAGTGACGTTTCATCCTTATTCATCTGTGTATTTTAATTTACTGATTATGAGCAAGATTGGTTGTTCTTAAACTTGTGTTGCCACAGAAACCTTTGATCACAGGAAATCTCATTTACTGATTATAAAATAATAAAGCAGATAAAGGCAGCAGTTGAGGAAGGGGTAGAAAAGCCTCCCCCTTCTTCTACGGTAATAGCCATTGAGAGGGTTCATGATTAGGCCTCCAAAGAGCAGGTCTTTGGTCCCCTTACTGGAATGCATTCCAAAAAAATGAATTCAAATGCATTCCCACAAGATGAATCCAAGCAACACTGAAAGAAGACCACAACATTACTATTCCCCCTTCAACCTCACTTCCCTCTCTAGAAGTCATCACAGTGAACAGTTTGATGGGTGTCATTCTTGATTTTCTTCCTGCATTTATAGATAAATTATTATATAGTTTTAGGATTTTTAAATATATGTTCCATGTGCATGTATGTTCCTTAAGGGCAAAGTGTATGTTCCCTATTTTATCCTCGGGGCCTATGACAATAGCTGATATACAAATAGACTTTCAAAAGTTCATGGAAAGGGGCTGGCAGGTGGCCTGGTGGTTAAGGGTGTTGGATTCCCACATGGCCAACCACGGTTCAAGTCTCAGACCTGGTAACTTGCTTTCTCACTTCCCTTCTCTCTCACTCTGTCCCTCTCTGGTCAAATAATAAATAAATAAAATAAAGTTTAAAAAATTTCATGGAAAAATGAAAGTATGAGTTTATTTGGAAGTCAAGAAAAAAATTGAAATGAATGCATAGTTTTTCATAATATGCATTTTCCACGAACTTACTGAAATGAGCGTAAATGTTTGCTGTGTTAAGGAAGGAATTTTTGCACAACTTGTTTTTTATGTTCTACAGTAGATCCTGGAATCTTGACATGTCAGCATGTGTAAAGTCTTCTTATTCTTTTTAAAAGTTGCACTGCATTTTATAACACGGGTGTTTTAGAATTTATTTAACCACTTTCCTCTAGGTGTGATTCCAGTGGTTTCCAGTTTTCTGCTGTGATAAACAGTGCTGCAATGAATGATGGTATACCTATCTCTGTGTTATGTGCATGTTCTCCCTAGGATGACTTCCCTGAAGCCAAACTTGTGGGTCAGAGGGTACATTCTGACCTCCTGTAGGTCCTTAGATTTTTTTTTTCCCTCTTCTTTTGGCAAGTGGGAATGAAGAACATTTAGCTTGGAAGTTTCTTATGGGATAGGTCAAGAGCTGTATCATGCCACTCACAGGCATTGGCCAGAACCCAGCCTCTCTTAATTGCAAGGGAGATTGGGAAATATAGATTAACTGCCCAAGAAAAAAGAAAAATAGTTTGATACATGTATAGCATGTCTGCCACAGCAAGAGAAGGTAGAAAATGTTTCTATTAGTTGTGAGCCCAGCTAAAACCTGATTCCTGTTAAGAAAGTAAAAACTGATTTCTTGAAAACAACGCCATGACATTATTGACATTTGAGTTTGCATCCCCAATATAAATGATCTCTAGGAAAATTGCCCCTGTTTGAACCATTGTACTCTTCCTAAATTTATATTTGACTGAATTTGAGCTAAATACATATATGCCTCAGGTCAATAGGCTCACGTGTAATTGACCTGAAAATGATGGACAGCACAAGATGGGTCTTTAAAAAAAAAAAAAAAAATTGTAGTACCTGTTCACAAGGGATTTATTGTGTTTAGTGATCAGAAGCTGAGACCTTATCATCTGTCTCCAGGTTGTCAAGCCACTTATCATGGCCTTTGAAATTGCTGTATTGGTGCTGAGCGATGAACAAGCATCAAAGAGGTATTTTACTGCTCATTCAGTCTTCGTGGCCACTGACGATGGCCAGACCATCAGATTAGGCTTGCTTCTAGAATTCTGGCACTGGGAGTTTTAGGTCTAAGACATAAGGATATCTTTGCATGTCCTTCTTCCTTTTTCATCTGATGTTATCTCCTATTAATCCAGCTGGAGCAAAACCTTGTTATTTTAACTTTCTACATATTTACATTTTCCTTCACACAACAGGAAAGCTGTCTGTGGCTTTTCAAAACTCTGAGAAAAAGCTCACTGGAACAAGGATGGCCCATCATGCAATAAGTAAATTCTAGTTTTGTTGAATAAGAATGCCAAGGTCCACACGGGGCCTTGTTTTCTTTGTAGAAGGTAAACAAATAGATTGCCCTCTCTAAGCCAAAGTCGATGGAGAACTACAAATCTCCCTACAACGGAGTTAATCTCATTGAGCTAGTCCTTGTCCTCCAACATGCCCTGTACTTTCCTGAATCCTGTTTTTGCTGACACCTCTTCCTGACACCAGCTCTTGTACATTCCCCCCATGCCAACTCAAGTGACACCTCCTCTGTGTTGATACCCTCAATCCACATAGCAGATTTTCTTGCTCCCTCAACCCTAACCTCTCTTGCCTTTGACATTTGTATCTAACTATAATAATACACTGTTGAAAATTTGGAAATACAGAGGCATAAAATGAGAAAAATTGCTTGCTATCACACTACTCAGCAACTTGAGCTGATATTTTAGTATGTACTTTTCCAATCTATTTTCATATATTTCTATTAAAACTAAAAGCTAGATTACATAGTTTTGTTTTGTTTTGTTTTTCATTTAACAGTATATTGTGAATTTATGTCATTAAGCACTCTTAAATTTCAGTAAGTTTTTTTTTTTACCTTATATCTAGGATAATTTTTGAATTATTCCTCTTTCTTTTATATCTAGGTTATTTCTGTCTTTGGAGGGAGGGCCAGTAAAAATACTGCTGACAAACATCCTTTTGATAAATCCGTGTGCACATCCCTAGTTATTTTCTTAGAATTAATTTTTAGAACTGGAATAACTAGGTCAAAGATAAGCACATGTGTATTTTTAAAGCCTTTGATAGTTTTTTTAAGTCTGTTTCCTCCTTGAGCGAGAGACATACACCCCAAAGGTTCTTGTCCCCACGATTCACCCTCCAGCTCCTTCCAGCCTCAGGTCATGGACATGCTTGTGCCCAGCATACTCAAGGAGGTCTACACATGGAAACTTGGAACTTTCTTACGAGGGTCAGTCTAGCAGAGTATCTCATTTTACCACCTTATCACGATCCAGCCCTCTGCCTTTGATAGGTTTTGCTGTGATTTATTATAATATTTATCAGAATCAAATAATTGTGTTTTTATATCCCATTTGTCCATAAATTCTTTGAGAATAAGAACTTGATTATGGTAGTATTTATAGTGTGTGTGTGTGTGTGTGTGTGTGTGTATATATATATATATACACACACGGACAAATGAAGGCAAATATTGGTAACATGGCTGAAGACATTTGAAGTTTAGTCATAAGCTGATACAAGTTCTATTTAAAGCATTATTTTCCGCAGCTCCAGGCCTTTGCCTGCTCAGCAAATTATGATTGGCCTGAGCTGTGACCTTAGGCCACAGTAATGATTGTTGACATAGGAAACTGTCCATACAGCACTGATGAGTCTGGTGAGAGAGTTAGACAGATAGGTTATATAGAAAGGAAATCACTACAATTTGTGATAAACATGTAGGAAACAATAGGACACTGCCCAAAACCGTGCAAAGTTTAGTGAGTTCTAGGATCACCTGGAAAGCTTGTTAATACAGATTCCTGGGCCATCCACAAAGTTTGATTCAGTAGGTCTATGGTAGGGCCTGAGAGGAACTTACCTTTCTAATAAATTCCGACAGGTTGTTGATGGTATTGTCTGGGGACTACATTTTCTAAACCACTGTGACAGGGAATAACAGATTGAGAAAAGCAAGGGGGAGAGGATTGTTGTTTTAGATATTTATGAAAGCTTTGTGTAAAGAGAGGAGACAACCCCAGATGTCCAGAAACTGGAAAGGTTTGGCTTGTTTGGGCGTTAGGAGGAAGATAGTGAGACTGGAAGATACTGAGAAAAAGAAGTATAAAAGTCAAAGTCGGAAAGGTGGGCTCAACAGTGGGCTCTATAATGTTGGCCTTATAGACCACGGGAAGGAGTTTGAATTTAACCACCATGCAGTAGAAATACAAGGATGATGAACAGAGATGGGATGACATGCAGTTTAAAAAGATCCTTGTGTGTGTTGAGAGGAGAAAGCAAGCAGGAGTTGTGTGGAGAGACCACAGTTAGAGACCACAGCAGGGATCTGGATGAGCGATGAGGTCGGCATGAATTGGAAGTGACTGTGAGATGGGGAAAAGGGAAGAGAATGAAGCTATCATTGTTTCACCAACCGCCCCCCACAAAGGGTTTGGGAGTCATTGGCTACAACACAGAACCCATTTTTAACTGTTGGACTTTTCAGAGCCTTGAAAGTAGTAATGTTCATTGTGAATCTTAAGATGTTTCCCTCCAGAGCACCTCAGGTAATTAATGTTTCAAAAAGGATTTAGCTCTGGAAAAGGCAAAACTATGGAGACAGTAAAGTACCAGTGATTCCAATGGTTAGAGAGTAGGAAAAAAGTGGTGACTAGGTAGAACACAGAGGATTTTTAGGGCAAACCCACTTCATTGGTGGATACATGTCATTACACAGGCCTACAGACACATAGAAGGTACACCAGGAGTGAATCCTGAGGTAAACTAGATGACAACATGTAGATATATGTTTAGACACAGGGTATATAGGAAATCTAGCTTCTCCACTTTTCTGTGACTTAAAAATGTTCTGAAAAATAGTGTTGAGTGTGTTCAGATACTCTGTTAAATAGTTGCTTAAACCTAAAAATTCCAGAAGGAATTTTGAGGGAAAAGAATGGCATTTGATTCTTTATCAGCAGTAAAATATTGGGTTACCTACATATATATGTTTATATATATTAGACATATATATATATATGTATATGTGTATATATACATATATATATACACACACATATACATATATTATATATATACATCTATAAATCTCTACATAGACACATACACATATGAATGTGTGTAGGTATTTACTGGAGTCATAGTTTATAAATTTCTGTTGGCCTCAGCAGTAGGGGGATTTGTTAGGTTACTTTCTACTGAAGGATTCCCTCTGTCCCTTGTAAGAAGGAGTTTTCCACCACTTACTTACTTAGCGCTGAAGACAGTCTTAGGCGCATGGTACCAGAAGCATTTCTGACTATGGTCTGCTAACCTCAGGCAAAGTATGAGTTGAATGAGATACAGTTACAGATTAAGTGACTGATGTGTCTGTGAATTCTTTGAATTCCTTGAAGAACTATATAAGGGGAGCATAAGGGTTCAACTTGGACATGAGACACGCCCATACCTATTCAACTAGAAGGACATGAGATACATCCTTACTCTTTCAAATATGCCTGTTTTGTGGTTTCTTCTTCTACCTAAACATTTAGAGAAGTCTATACATAGATAAGGAGAAACTGAAGAACACTTTCTGAGACATTCTATGCTGTTACTGCCTCTGCTAAGTTTTTTCACAGTCTTGTGACCCAAGGAAAGGACCAGTAGTTTTCACTGTAGTGAAAAATTAAGACTGAAACTGTCTTTGTGACTTGAAGAATTAGCTTCTCCAAGCCTAAGTTTACTCACCTCAGGAAGTACTTACGAAGATTAATAGAATAGTTGAAGTAAAGTACTTAGCATAACATTAGCTATAATAATAGCTACCATTATTATTAGTTGAAATTGTTTTCTACCTCAACTTTGGTCCAATGTTAGTTCTACTCAGCTACCTGAAGGGGTCTCCTCTCCCAACCTGCTCCATGTTTAGGAATTTAGAGACAGTTTTCGCTACTGTTGCTTTGGGATGGAATGTTACATGGAATGATATCTCTGGAAAATAGTTATTGTATTCAAATGTTCATTTAGAAAAATGTTCTCTTGCCCTTTTCCCCTGACACCTTGTTTAAGCCTAAAAATACCAGAATAAATTTCTAGAGAAAGGAATGGCATCTGATTCTTTATCAGCAGCAACATAGTGGGTTGTCTGAAAATTCATAGGTCTTTTTGCATTTAAAAAAAATATGTCATGACTTTTCCGACAACCCAGTACATCAAAGACAACTAAGTATGTGGTACAACAACTTTCCATGAGCTGATAGAATTAGCAAAGACAACTTTATGTGTTTAAGCTAGGAACACATTATGAAAAGTACACCGAGGACTTTTTAATAGTCACTATTGGCTCTTTCTTTTTTCTTCAGTTTTTAATGATTTAATAATATTCATTTTCCTTAAAAAGAACATGTTTAGGTACTATCATCTTAAATGGATTCTTTAATCACCAGATTATGACAAATGGAGAGTCTAAAAAAATCCATCCAAAACAGCTGGTCTAAACACTTTTCCAAGGTGACTCTCTGCTGGATTTGAAAGTTACTGACATGAGAAATGACACTCCAATTGAAGACATTCTGTGTGTCAGGGTGACTTAATTAAAGTCTCTTTGATGACTATTTGGGAGAGTTAATGGGTTCCTTTGTCCAAATTCAAAAATCTCCTATAATATCAAGTTTATTCCAAGCACTTCCTGTGATATAAAACACGAATTAACTATCTGCTCTATAAATCTGATGAGGAAACCAAGTTCTAAAAATAATGTATGCAGTGCTAGAAGAATCTGCAGCCTAAGAGACAGCATAGTGGTTGTGAAGGGAAAATATATAGCCTTGCTGTTCCCAAGTTGGGCACGATTTAACTACTTTTTATAATGCAGGGTACAGTTTAGATGTCATCAGTCAGAAGTCAGATGACAACCTAGAGGATTTTGGTTGCCTCTCATGGCACGTGGTTTATGTTGATCCTTCCATGTTGTGGATACTGT